TTCACTTTGGTGAATACCTATCAGGATCCAGATTCCACTTTACATGTGGAGAAGATCATAGTAAAGGGGAAAATATCTTTCTCCCCTCAAGAAGTTTTTAGTTTATAGTGAATCAGACCATGACAGTACAATAATTAGAATGGTTTTAAGCTCTTAAATACAGACAATACAATAAGAGAATATAAAAGGGACCAGTAAGTCTGTCTGAGGACAATCCAAAACATCCTTCTACGGAGACATAGAAAAAAGTGTGGGGTTTTGGCAAGCACATAAGTAAGCGATGGTGTCTGAAAAAAGGCATTATATCATCAGGAAAAAAAAAATCAAGCAGATGGACTAATAAGCAAAGAAATGGGGGACAGAGGAGAGTCCTGGGCTCTTTGGGAAGGTACAAGTAAAAAGCATTTGATGTGTTGCTAGGGGACGGAGCCAGGAAAGAGTGGAGGGAGGGAAAGGGCAGTTTAAGCTAGACTTTGCCTTAGTTACTTTTCTCACATTGCTGGGACAAAATACCTGACACCCAAAGTTAAAGAGGGAAAGGTTTATTTAGCTCACAGTTTGTAGAGGTTTTAGTCAATAATCAGCTGACTGTAAGGCAGGGTGGCTTGGCAGAGGAGCATTGCAGAGGAGAAGTTTATGGCATCTAGAAAACAGCAAAAGCAAGCAAGCAAGGGACCTTAACCACATCTTTCTGCTCCTTTTATCTTATCCAGACTACTTAGGGAAGGTAGCACTCACACCCTTAATCCTAGTGCCCCTGAGCCTAGTTAGTATTGTACCATGAATCAATTCCAGTGTTGCACACTCTAGATCTAGCCACCTCCTGTGAAAAAGCTCCACATATGACAACATAAGGCTTTGGGGAGACATCTAAAACAAGCCATAACAGATTGTATGTGTTATTTGTGGCATTTATCTTACTGAGCATGAAAGTTATTGAAGAATTTTGAGGAAGAGAGTGATGAGGGCAATTTTACAAATATTTTGGGAGCAACTTCAGTATGAATCTAAGGCAGTAGTGCAAACAAGGGATGATGGAATAGACTAATAGTCATGGGATTATAGGAGAAGGATATGGACTTGAGATTCACTTGAAGGTAGAAACCACAGGACTTGACTTTTGTTAAATGTGGGAGGAAATGGAAGAGAACTAAAAGAGTGGAATCTCTTTTCAATTTATTGAGCTTTTGCAATGTGCTGATACTTTACAGAAATTGCTTCATTTAATCACCATAGCAGTTTAATGAAGTAGATCATATTATTATCCCATTTTACAGATGAGCTATCAACTCTTGGAAGCTAAATAGTGTACCCAAGACAATAATAAAGTAGTGAGCTGGGATTCCAGTGCCAGCAATTGGATCCAGAACCTGTGCCTTTTCGAATGATGGCAGATACAGAGTGGGGAGGAACCTTGTAAGAGTAGGAAATAACTAAATGCCAGGAGGGCAGAGGCCACTCTGTTCTCATTTACTGTAATACTGTATATTACTATATAATTTATAAAAATAGTTTATGTTACTTTTTTTATTAAAAAACTCAGCTGATAATTCACCTGGTAATATTACCTTGAGTCAGTTTAAAGATCAGCAGGGTTTTTTTTGTTTTTTTGTTTTTTGGTACCGGGGATCGAACTCGCTTCCTTGCGCTTGTGGGGCAGGTGGTGGAACCATTGAGCTAAATCCCCAGCCCCAAGATTGCAGTTTTAAGAGTTTAAAATATTTGCACTAATGAAAGCCTTAAATGCTTGGGTTCTTGTTGATTTGTTTGCTCACATGGTAGTCATAACCAGCACTAGGGCAATGAAGAATTTTACCAAGTTTACTAATTTAGTGAGGATAGATGAAGAACCTCATTTAATTAGAAGCTAAAAATCAACAACTTAGCTTCTTCTGTGATTAAGAGCAAAAATAAGAAACTTAAAAACAAACATATCATTACCACATAGGCACTGGCTTCACAATGACTACTATTATTCCCTGTGCTCAAATGGTCCTGTTCTTAGGGTTTAAAACCTGTCTGAGGTCTTTAAACTCTCAATAATTTTATATTTGAATTTGTGGAAATGAAATCCAGTGGGGCAAGGAACATACGCTACGCACTTGGAGTTTCAGCTCAAGGAGCTTCAGCTCTCTTCCTCCTGGCATGATTTGTTAGCCATCAACCTTCTGGTCCCCTGAACTTCTGTCTAGTCTCTATCTCCATCTTCCTGTCTCCCACAACACTGCTGCCCTCCACCTGAGACTGGGTTGTGTCAGGAGGGGAGGTGTATACTACCTTCACCTTCCTCCCAAGATGGAATGTGGAAGCAGGCTAGAAACTATTCAGGATGGTGCAAATACCCTACTGTGTCTTCCGGGCGGGGGGGAGGGCAAGGCTGAGGTCATTTCTGACAAAGCTGGCCAGCGTAATGGCACATTGGGTGGGCCATCCAGTGGTAACTTCTTCCTCATCCCCAGTTCACACACCAAGTACATTCCAACTACAAAGAAATTGTAAAATCTTTTAGGGGCCACACATCTACCATCAAGGTGGGATAAGTCTCCCCAGCTATAAGAAGGGAAGACTGACTGGGGCCGGGGATTTAGCTCAGTGGCACCATGCCTGCCTTGCAAGCGCAAGGTCCTGAATTTGATCCCAGAAAAAAAAAAAAAGAAGGGAAGATTGACTACCTTACTCTCCTTTTCATTTTGCAGTTGACACCCAAAGATTATGTACATGGCTTTGTCGCCACAATCTTGCAGCTAAATTTGTACATAATGAATGCATAGAGTGAACTTTGTTAAATATGAATGCAGCAGATGTTATAAATGTCTGTCATAATCATAATGCAAGTCCGTTGCTTTAGAACTTAAAAAGAAAAAGCATAAAGGTAGAGCATAAAATGAAAATGTTTTAGAACCTGATTAAGACTTGTGTATTTTAGTCATGGTTAACAAACTAATTAAAAAAGAATCACTAACAAATTATTATGTAGAGTCTTCTTTCAGCTTTTGTGATGAAAAATAATTGTGTAGTGAGGGAAACAATATAGGTGAAAGCTGCATTAACTGAGTGTGGATTGCTAAATCATGCACAAGATGAGAAAGATATTTTCCTTAAAATCCAAACAAGCTAAATTTTGTTGAGAAGCATGCATGACTTTAAGGAAATTAGATAATTTCAGTTTAAAAATAGACAACATGCTATAGTAGTTTCCAGAAGTACTTATTTGATTTTGATATTTAGTTTTATGGGCAAGAAGAATAATAGCCTTCTAGTAGCATTTAACTGTGACATGAATAGTACTCTCTTTAGTATACTGATTGACACTTCCTGACCTCCAACATTATGGAAAAACATTAGCATGTAATATATGAAAATAGTTACTTAAAATTACTAAGTTTAAAGGAAAAATAATAATGGAGGCCACACTTTTAGTATACCCCAATCCCAGCTGTCCATAATTGTGTCCAAAATTTAGGTCATCCAGAATTTTCTGAAATTCTAACTCATTAATTAAAAAACAAAGGCTTTGTATCTTGGCAACATATTCAGTAAAATTAAACTGACAACCTGTAGAAAAACTAAAATTAAATAGCTTTTCTGTTTGCATTAAAAAGAATGAGAATGTTCAACAGCCAACCACAAAAAAGGTCAAAATACATTCTCTTTTATGTTTCATAAATTATGCTCTAAGTCCAACTTCTCACTCTCATTTCAAAGTGTCCTGATTTGTGAGCTACTCTTTTGTATGTCCACTAAACTTCTACAATTTAAATTTGATCTGATTTTATTTTTGATGCCATAAACTTCTTAAACCTCTAAGTAACTGGGCTGTATTTTATACTTATGATTATATTTTGTATGACTCTCACAAATCGAATCCTATTAATATTGTGATATACAGTTTGAAAGACCAAAAAGTGTACCCCCCACCCTGAACTTTCCTTTTTTGTTGCATCGAGGGTGATCATCAGCACCTATATTATTGAGATCCCTGGTTGGTTCCCTGGTCCCTTATTGGTTCACTGACCAATAAGCTAGCATTACTCTCAGAATGTAGCCAGCCTACACAGGTGAGGACCATGGCATCCTCCCTCCTCTCCTGAAACCTAACGAGCAATTTCACGTTCAGCCAGTAACTCCTGTCTGCCAGCCAAAGTGCAAAGAAGTAGTCTTGCCTCCCTTCCTCCCAGATTTCCCAGTTTCTTTTGAGAAGGCTGGGTTGAAAGCTATTTTTGATGTCTATCTTAGCCTAGGTTTTCTTGGGTGCAAATACCAGGGTAGACAGGTGGTGGAGCTTACCCTTGACCCTTCACATTCATGGTTTCATCCCAGCATTGACCAGTGTTATACAATGGATTATCAAAATATACTTTGAATGTTCAAATGTAAGATAAATTACAATAAAAGACCTATTGCCATGAATCCTCCTCAGAATTTTCCCCCTCTTTTTGGTGCCAGTTTTGTTTGGTACCAGGGACTGAACTCAGGACATTGTTCTTAGGAGGCAGGAGGGGGCACCACTGAGTTAAATCCCCAGCCCTTCTCCCGCTCTCTTTGAACACATGAATCCTACCATTCTTGCCACTTTTGAAGCAGTTCTGGATGTCTTCTTTCATATCAAGCATATAGTGAGAAAAGTAGCCTGAGTTCCATCCATGAGAAAGGCAGGCTCATAAAAACATTACAGGTATCCTCATCCACCTTATTCACCAGATCTGGCACTGTGTAACTTCTGGCTCTTCCCCAAAGCCAAAATGGCCATGAAAGTTAAACATTTGGATTGACTCAGGACATCAAGGCAACCATGAAAATGTGACTAACAGCATGAAAGAGGCTTGCCAGAACTGTTTCAGAAAGTGGCAAGAATGATGGGATAAGTGTGTTCAAAGTAAGGGGGAGTATTTGGAAGGAGATTAATGGCAATGTGTCTTTTAGTGTAATAAGATTTAAAATATTAAAATATTCACCATATTTTCTTTATGACACCTTATAATTAGCTGATCTTCTCTTAGGTGCCTCACTCCTGATGCAGAAGCCCGCCCAGATATTGTAGAAGTCAGTTCGATGATATCAGATGTCATGATGAAGTATTTAGACACCTTATCTACATCCCAGCTGGCCTTGGAAAAGAAACTGGACCGGGAACGGAGGCGCACCCAGAGATATTTTATGGAAGCCAATAGGAATGCCGTCATGTGTCACCATGAGCTGGCTCTGCTATCTCATGTAGGTACAGTTCTCTCGATCTCTTCATGATGCACTCTATTAGGCTGTCCTGAAGTTCTTCCTGCTTGTTTTAAGGAAAATTAATCTATAGGTAGAAAAATATTTGATACCTGAAAATTAAAGTAACAATGTAACTGACCTTCCATAAAACAAATGTAGAATTTATTGTATATTGCAAAATCAGAGTGTTAAAAGTTCTCTCAGCATTTCTTCAAGTTTAAAGTATGATGTTGGTATAAATAGTAGTGAATGCTTATATTTAATTTCTTCAGCAATCTGATTGGATCTTTTGAGGACATGGATGAAAATATGAGTTAATTCAGAGAAGGAAATAACATTTGCTTCTTAAAATTTTTCTTGTTGGTCTTATATAATTGCTGCATTACAGTTTGTGGTGATGATGTTGCTGCTAATTTCAAGTTGGAATTTGTTAAAACATTCTTCCTAATGACCTTTAGATTATTTTGATATTTAAGCATACCTCTGAACATAGACTAAAAAAGGGATGTGAAAGCTACAAACTGCCATGTGTACAAGTGGTGGTGTCAGTGATGCTCTTGTTACTGTCTTATTTATCTTCCTGTGTGCTTATTGTGGTCTTGACTCATGACCCACTACTCTTCAGGGAAACCCCAGCAAGGACCCAGGCTGGGGCCCTTCAACCCAGCAAATATTCTTTACTTCTAGTCTGACGGCAGGTTCCAAAGCAATAGAATCATAAAGCTCTTTCTTTCTTCTTTTCTTTTTTGGTCAGAGTAGCTGGTCATTAAATTCCTTCCCAAGATCTTAAGGATTTTCTGTACTTTAGCTCAGAAAATTATGTAAGATGTTGATTTCAAAGAAGAGATAGTTTTAATTTCTTGAATAATATTGGTTCCAGTGAATTCTTTTTTAAAAAGAAGAGAAGTATTATTGTTTAGAGGGTTTGTCTGCAGGCATTTGGAAGCCAGAAGTTGAAGATTCAATGTAATTTTCTTTTGGAGAGATATTCTTTCATCTTCCTTGTCTTAAATGCTGAGCTTAGCTATAATTTCACACAACAGTCTATGATGATTTTCTAAGGCCTTTGTTTATGTTTAGGAGCATATAACTTAAAGTTATAGCTCTCACTGAGCACAGGGAGTTAGAGCTCACTTTGCTTGTTATTTTACTGCCTGACTTCGTAAAGGCTAGGTAACAATAAGAAACACATCATTCTATATATGTCATGTTGCTTCCAAAATGGAGTATTCATAGTAGACTAAAATGCAAGAGATTTAGCTATTTCTATATATCTTAAGTATGTGGAGCCTTTTATTAAATTCTGGACTGCAAAGCCACTTAACCAGTTTCCAGTTGGATGTGAGTCATTTTATACCAGATTCATCTAGCTGATATGAGAGGGGTGGAGCTAGTTTGAAAATTAAAAGCAGAAATCCTCTTATCTTTAGCAAAACACCTTGAGAAAGATCATTTTATATATTTATTTTTACTTCTGAGCTCTTTGAAAAAATCTTTATTATGGAAAGCTTCAAATTTAAAGGCAGAGTATATTTTCTGTACCCATCTCCCACCTTCAACGATTAGCTATTTGGCACTAAATCTCTATCATTTATATCCCCATCCACTTATCACTCCCTTCCCTTTCCAGATTATTTTGAAGCAAATCCAAGAAACCATATCATTTCATTCATCATTATCTCAGTATGTATTTAGAGTGACAGTTTAATTATAGAATTCTAACTCTCAGATCATGGCCAGGTAAAACAAAGGGAAAGTTCTGAAGTCAAGAAAGAGCCTATGAGGGTCTTCGGGTGGTACCCCCACCTGTAAATTAGGGGAGTAATATACCTACTTCAGAGGCTGCTAGGATTAAATAAGTTGATGTGTTTGAAAATATTTTGCAACTTTGAAAAGTAGTATAAAATTGCAATATAACATCGATTACATAAAATGGGAAATTCTTATGGTAAGAGTAGTTTGTTGATGAATCTTACTGACTAATGCTAATTTGTCCAAGTAGAATTAGCATAAATTTTTGTGTGTCAGTCATGCAGTTAATACACATCTATTAATCACTTGCTGTAACCAACCTCAAGAAATGCCCTCCTAGAGCCCTCAATTTTTTATGGACCATGGAGAAATGCTTGACTTCAAAGCAAAGCTTATATTACTATGTTAGAGTCATTTAATACCTTTTCCTTGCACACTATTTTAAGTCTACTGATAATTTTTCCTTTCAAGATTAATCAAATGTAAATTAAAAGGAAAAATGCAATTTTATGAAAGAAGGAAACAAGACATATAATTGTATTTCATCAAAAGAAAGCATACAGGTAATTGGCATTATCCTCACTGGGTACCAATTATTGTTTTTTAAAGCATCAACACCAGTGCTGCCAGAAAAATTATAGGTGTAAATTGTTGTCTTTTTTTTTCTTAAGTAGTATTATGATTTTTTTCATTTCAAATATAGCAGCATGTTCTCCCAGAGCAGTTAACGTCAATAATGCAATTACACATCCAATGATAAATGATAGTCAAAGGGAAGAGAAATTAGTGGGTTCAGTGAAACTTTATAAATTCCCAGCACCAATAAGGGATCTACTGTGAATTACTGAAATTTTCTAAATTAGTTGGTAAGCAAACAATTGACAAGAAACATTTAAGGCTCCTATCTCACTGAGGCAGTGTGCTATTTTCTCTCACATATTTATCGTATTTGTAATTAATGCAATTTATAATAGGCTACTAAAGACAAGAACAAATATATATTTCAAAAGGACAGAGACGTTTTCACTAATAAGTTCACTCCTGTGTACTGTGGTTTACCCACTGTGAGAGTGAAGCAAAACATTCCTTTTGAAAAATGTTAACCTTCTTAATTTCTGTAGTTTAAAATAAGAGATCATAAGGACAGCACTAGTTGACAATGATAAGAATTACTCAGAATAAAACAAGGAACAACTTTTACTTAAATGTCAATAATTAAAAGGGTATTATAATACAGACAATGTTGTGGCATTGTAATAGTCAAAACCATGATCAGTGTTTTGGTGCTGTCAACAATGTGTCGAACACATTTCAGATATTATTTTATATCTGAGACAGAAAATTAGCATAGACGTGTCTAAAAGGTACACTCTTTCGATCTTCACCAGCAAACAGAAGGATGAGCATTAAAAAAAAAAAATTCATGCTGGAAAAGATCTGGAGAATCAATGGAAAACTTTCAGTTTCATTTACATTATTAGAATTTTGTGGATACAGCTTCAACCTAATATTTACAGAGTTGAATAAAGCATATACCTATGTGCACAGGTGGAACCGAGTTGATTATTCCAGGGAGACTGACAGTAATCATGATAGAAGTATGTTCTCGCAGTTTGAGATTTGCAAGGATTATAGCTTCTCCTTCAACAGTATTTGACAGGAAGTTTATCCTTACCACTCCGGTCTTAAAGCTGAAAGGTGGTTTGTTTCTACTAGTTTATTAAGTTCATTCATTTTGGAAACTACTTTCACATCCATAAGCACCTGTCAGGGAGCAACACAGAGAAAAATTGAAAATGCTTGCAGTCTCTAATTAATAATGAAAGGTGCTTGCTTTGGCAGAACATATACTAAAATATAATAATTAATAATGAAAGAACAAGGATTTGTTGGCTCTCTTCTGAATGTAAGGTATCATGTGTGATAACCTGAGAGTTATAAGAAACTACAATGGTCCCAGTTGTGAAGTAGCTTATAATATGCTTAGGAAGACAAAAGAAATAAGCAGTTTTTGGAAGAGATTTCTAAGGATAGAGGAGAATTTGAGTAAATAACAGTGAGATATAGGGGAGATATTTTAGGGAGGCTCCCATAGCAAACAGGGAAGATCAGGGCTTGATTGATGAATATGGAAGTCACTTATGGATGGAAAAGAACAGCGAAAGTTTAGAAACTCCAGATATACATGCTTAGCTTACTTAGGACTAAGAAGGCAACTTAGAAATAGTATTGTTGTACGCTTTAATTTAGCAGACAAGACGAGGAAGCCAGAAATAGAGACTTGTCCATGGTCATCTAGCAAATTAAGGCCTATCCCAGGACTGAAGCTTAGGTTTGCTAACTTACAATGCATATTTTCATCTGGATAGTTTGAAGTCTGGGTGGAAAAAATTTGTGCATGGTAGAAAATTAACTACCTTGCTGAGGTGTTTGAGTTTAATCCTGTGGGTACAGTGGACTAAAATCTTGAATTCTCCAAATTGCTTAACAACCAAATTTCCAAACTAAAAGCTAGTTCTTGTTGATTGTACGTGTCCCCCCTTGATATTTTTTCTTCTATGATTTCACTGTACTTCTTTACTCTGGTTTCCATCTTACCTGTCTGAATACCCTTTCTCATTTTTTATCTAAACCCTGGCCTCTTCATTTTCAACATTCTGATTTTCTCCTTGCACTTTTCTTGATTGGGCCCCATTTAGTCCCATGGTTTTTTCATTTCATATGAATATGGCTAAAAATACATCATGCAAAATGTTAATTTTCTTTCATAACTCTGTTCCTACTGATGACGGTAAATGGTAGATGTGGCCAGTTTCAATTATGTCAATCTCTCTTTACTCTAAAAGTTCCTTTCCCATTTTAAGGTTTCCCTTCTCTGTCCCCTCCTCAAGTTGGCAACTGGGTGCAGGAAGAAGGTGAAGCAGTCCCATGTCAGTTGGGGAGGGCAGCAGTTCTCTGTACTCCCTTCCTCTGGGTGTTGGCTTCTGCTAACTTTAGCTGAAGTGAACCCATCTCTGTGGTTCTTGTGACCTCTGTTCTTTTTTTTGTTTGTTTCTGGGGATCGAACTCTGGTCCTTGCACTTGAGCAGCAGGCAGTGAAACCACTGAGCTAAATCCCCGGCCCTAGTGACCTCTGTTCTTGTTAAGTGTTTATGGCATCTGTCACTCATAGCCTCTTTTCTCTGTGTGGTTTATTTAAGCCTGGTGGATGACCCGTGATGCCTTAGCTCCCACTGAAGGGTCACTAT